ACACGAAGGATTCAAATCAGACCACATAGATTCCAATAATTACGTTGAGTTGCATTAATTCCCCATCGGAAATCTGATTGTCAATCACGTTGATTAAGATTGCGGACAATCAAGGACCGCACCACACGTGTCATGTACTATTAGATTCAGGATCTCAATCCCTTTGAGATCCTGGCAGACAGCTGAGCTACAAAACTCGGTCTTTCTCGCAACAAACTCAACACACCGGTAATCGGCATAAATCGAATAGTTTCGACTATAGATACATCGGTAAATACGAAAATTAGTTCACGAATAAACGCCTTTCCTGTAAGATTAAATTTATTAGTAATACCCCAAACCAGTGAATTGATATCCATTCGATCGATACGTGCCGAAGAATTAAAAATATCATAGAACATACGGTTAGCATATCCCAGTTTTTAGAAAATGGCCACAATTTATGGGCTAATCGGAACCAAAATCTTTTTCAAGCTGCTCGCGGTCGGACAATTTACGCTGACCGATGCAGCCGTCACGTTACAAAGGATCAGATTAAGCCGGGTGGTAACAAGGACTCTGCCTAATTCAAATATCGCAAAAAGTAGCATTTGTAGATTAGCGTTAAACACAATCAACAATGAAATCGTAAGGTATGGCAACTGGAAAGACGGTGTATAAGGCCTATCACCACCACAGAAAAAATCCAAAACCAAACGATCGGTAAAACGTTTAGCACTGCTGCCCGTATAATCATACAGACAACATTGTAAGCTATAAACGTTATATATATTGAATAGTAATTTAAGAGAGTTAACATCGATCACATTTATACATTGTAAGTAATTTTCAGAAAAGACGTTGTAAACAGTCAGTTGGCGAGCAGCGTCTCCACCGATAGCCTATTTATGGTGAGATCGGTCGAGGGGTGTCGAACTTTTCGAGCAGAAGAGCAGGCAGTCTAATAAAGATCTTTGGAAAAGAAAGTCATCGGAAGTCTTCTACAACAAATAGTTACATGAATCGCGATTTAAAGTGTGGGCAACTTTTATCGATACCCATTATCTTCCGATAGGAGAAAACCCTTCGTTGAATTTCTAGAAAGACATCGCCAAGGTTCAAGGACAACGGTCACAGATGGGGATGTTTAGACGCCAAGCTCGGACATTTGCATCGGAGTTCAAGCGAAGAGGCACCTACACTTGAAGACGAGGTCACGGAAAGGGTCGCGCCCTATAAAACTGCGGAGGATGTGTTTTTGAGACATTAACCTACGAGCTAAGGATTGAATAGAACATTTAGCCACCAATAAAACGCTCGTTAATTACAAACGTTAATTAATATTCTCCTACAGATCAGAAGTGGGATACAATAGGAATAAGAAGAAAATTAGCTCAAATGTTGCGCACGAAACAGTTCAGTGCAGTGTTGCAAGTGCTTGAACAAGATGCAACAAAACATTCAAAGAGGAAGACTCGCCACCAGGGGTGAACATCGAAGGCGACGCGTGAGGCTGACATGTGGGCGAGTTCGTTCTTGTCCCGTTCCAGAAGCCGATCCAGGAGCTTGGAGGATTGCTACCGGGAGCAAGGAAGAGGATCCGGAGGAGCGAACGATTGCTATTGGGAGCAGGAAAAGAGGTGCCGCGGAGGGGAGCGTGAACGAGGATCCAGGATGTACGGCGGCCATTGGGCCAGTACTTCGAGGTATCGGAAGGTATGTCGGGACGAAAGGCGGAGAGACTCACTGGAAGAAGTAGGAGGACCGAACGATCATCGAGCAGGAGCAGTTCGAGAGGACGATGGATGAGCACGACGAAACAGGACGATTACATTGACCGCTAGAAAACCGTAATGGGGACTTTCGAGCCTGTCTTAACTCCTTGATGAAACACCAAATAAAATTAAAAAGTGCACATATTCCACCCGAAGCACTTTTTTTTAACTTTTTTTAACTTTTTTTAACTAGACGCAAATAATTTCCTACAAGATACTAACAATATTTCAATTATATATCGTGTCAATCGAAAAACGCGAAACAAAACCATTCTGTATGTAGATAACAAACGGACAAGGCGTAAACTCGATTTGCAGGTTTGAGAAATTCATCGCTAAAAAGATATGACAGATAATCCCAACAAAAATGTAAAATAGTACTGGTGGTTGTTCAAAAAGCTAATATAATAAATATATTTAGCCAAATGTAAAAACCGGTAGTACATGCTGTCTATATTGTACATGTTGTAAATATATATCCCTATTCCTTTCAATTCCTTCCTCCCTATCCCAATTTAATTAGATAATAAAAAAAGAAAAAAAAAAAAAAATGGATTATCTAGCTTTGCATCCCTTTTCTGGGGATTCAACACGAATTGCCATGTAGTCGCCAAAAGAAGAATTATCTTTTGTAACAATCTTAGAAATAAATAACAGAAAGTGACATAAAATGTAGACAAAAGTAAACTTCTATGACTATGTGCATTAACACTAAATAAAAGTCTTAGAAACAAAATTGTATAGTAAATGAGTCTGGAACGTGAAGATAATCGCAGTTACGGCACTATCCTGGTTTTCCCTCTCAAACCTTGAAAATTCAGGAGAGGGCCGCATGTCGTGGAGGTCGCATCAGTTCGTACCCATATCCACAGCATGTCGCCAAGGTAAAGGGTCTCTAATCGATAGATTATTGTAGGTAAGGGAACTCGGCAAATTGGATCCGTAACTTCGGAATAAGGATTTGGCTCTAAGGAGCGGGGAGTGTCGTGCTTGGTCCGGAAGCGGGTTTGGCTGACGTGCCGCGCCTGGGCGAGCAGAATGGATCGTGGTCTCGCGCTACGTACTCAGAATCCGAGCTCGGACCCGTGCCTTGGCCTCTCGCGGATCTTCCTTGCTGCGAGGCTTCCATGGCGGTATAGCCGTCGTGGTCGTTCTCTTCGGCCGCCATTCGACGCTCGGCTCAGAACTGGCACGGACTAGGGGAAATCCGACTGTCTAATTAAAACAAAGCATTGCGGTAGTCCCCACGGGTGTTGACGCAATGTGATTTCTGTCCAGTGCTCTGAATGTCAACGTGAAGAAATTCAAAAAAGCGCGGGTAAACGGCGGGAGTAACTATGACTCTCTTACGAGTATGCCGCGCGCCGACCTTGTGGCGCTTCTAAATATTGTATGGGGTACGAGAGTTTTTCCGCCGGTGTTACGAAACAATCGAACCTAAGTCAGGAAATTTAAAAGAGCCCAAAAACTGGAAACCGATCACCATCTTCAGCAAGGTGATTCGGTTGCTACATAAAATACTGACAACACGCCTTAAAAATGAAGTCCCCTTAACGCACAGCCAGCGAGGCTTCACCAAAACTGACGGCCTCATGGCAAATAGCACCATACTACAAACAATAATCAGGACCATGCGCAGCTGCGCTAAACCGTTTATAATATTAACTATAGACTCCGCAAAAGCCTTCCATCGCGTAACTATAGAATCAATTATCGATGCACTATAAAAAAGAGGCGTGGACGAACATACTGTCCAATACATTGTAGAATCATACCAGAACATAACAACTACTCTGGAATGCCATGACAAAAGATCCGAAGCCATAGAAATTATGAGAGGCGTAAACCAGGGCGACCCCATGTCGGGCTTTTTGTTTAACCTCGTCTTGGATGATTTGCTAAAACAATTAAGAGAAAGAGAGGGAGTAAAGATTGGCGGCGCAAATATTACCGTGCTCGCATTCGCCGACGATGTAGCATAGTGTTGTGACCCACGACGTCCTATGGATAAAGAAAACTAACTCGCGAATACACGAGGGTGTTAGGTGTCCCTTTTGGCCAATTGGCTAGCAGATCCAATTATTCACGGGTCGCGCTGTTCTTCTCGACACTTTCCCGAATCACGGTTTACAAGTAGTCACTTAATTATACTTACAGAAGTAGCCGCAAATCTTTGAGTACGTTGGATTCGCAGTTCTTGAAACGTCGGGGAACGGCTGTCACTAGGCTCTACAGGACACGATCGCTGCCAGAGAAAACGTCAGGGTAAACTCGTAGGGCGCAGCACGGCGATGAGTGATCGTGAAGTGGCCAACGTGGTGGATAAGTGAAGAGTATGGCTTATATCTATAGGGTATAAGTTACGCATTAGTCTAAGACGTCCGAGCCACGTCACACCTCCCTTCCCGGGGGAAAAGAAATCCTCCGGATTTCTGTAACTGGGTAGACGTTAAGGCGGGGTTATTCCGAGTCGGACTCGTAGTCTTTTTGAACGTTTTTATTGTATGTCTTTGGGGGCTTGGGATCACTAGTCTCGCACTGGGGTTCACTTTAGTGAGTTCCACTTCCGCACCCTCGTCACTACCACTTGGTTTTTGCTCCTGCCTGTCCCGAATTATGTTGTTTGTCAGTGTTGTCCATACGGCTGCCATCAAGTGGACGCTCCAGCTGTACCCTTGATGCAGCGTTATCCCGTTCAGTATTGTGTTTATTATTAATTTGATAATTCCGATTATGATGAATATCCCCAGGAATCCAGAGGTTATTGTGCCTATTTGAAAGAAACGGTGCCAAATTTTCTTTGCCATCGATTTGGTTAAGCGTTGTATGTCGTTTTCGGTTAGGAAGCTGCGTATGTTCAGGCTGGCTCCTGCGTTTTCGATGCCGTTCATTCCTTGGACGAAGTTGTCCAAGACCGAGTGCTTTTCTACTGGGAACATGATGTGTTCCCTTAGGTTCTCGATTTCGTCCTCGGAGTATACTCCGCCCGTGGCTACCCTGAGGGGCTCCTCGTAGTGCCAACGAGGTGTTGCGAATGGGTCCGGTGCTGGTGGGTTTATTGTCTCGGACGACTGCGGAGTCAGTTTATACCATCGAAAGTTGATTTTAAATAATGTAGGAAGGAGTTCGTTGCAGCGCCTTGCGCTTCCGCTGGCGGTGATTATGTGGGTCCGGGGTTTCAAGAATGCAGATCGGTTATTGAAGGTGATTGGTAGTTCGTTGTAGCATTCATCGGTTTTCCGAAATATGACCGTCGTGGGAATGCATTTTACTATATGGAAAGAACAAGAATTAGCTAAATTGCTACAGGAAAAGAAATACGCATTTTTATCCTCTGGGATTTCAACTTACTGGCCTGCTGATCGCACGAAGATACCTGACCACCTTCATTTTTTCATCTTCAACGGTATTGCTCAATGTTATATCGACATAGAATCAAGCCACGACTTATCGTCTGATCGCTCACCTATAATAGCAATAGTTAGTACTGCAGTAATTAAAAAGAAAACTGCTCCCAAGTTGCACAATTCTAAAACTGACTGGGATGTATTTAGGGACAGCATTTCTGAGAATTTTAACTTAAATATAAGGCTAGAAAATCCGGAAGAGTTTGAGGAAGCCACCATTAATTTCATTTCGCTAACTCAACAAGCAGCCAAAATAGTCAGTGCATAGCATAAACTACAAAATTCAACGCAGTTTATCCCAATAGAAATTAAAAAACTAATAACTGACAAAAGAAGAGCAAGGGCGAAATGGCAGCGATACCGCTCTCCTACAGATAAGACGATATATAATCGAATAAGCAACACACTTAAAGGCAAACTAAAGGAATTACGTGATAATTCGTTTCAAAATTACATTGTGAACCTCAGTCGTTATGACAATTCTATATGGCGTGTAGCTATTTCAGCTCTAAAATCGATCGAATCAAATCATCCGATTCGTATACAATCTACTCCTTCTGGTCCATGGGCTAAGAGTAGCAAAGAAAAGGCGAATCTATTTGTTAAGCACCTTGAGGCTGTATTCTCTCCGAATAGCATTCATCCCGATCAAGATATTGTGGACTGTTTAAATGCTAGACCTATGAACTCTGCTAATTCGGGTTCAATTAGACTCGTCTCGACTAACGAAGTTAAAAAAGAAATCTCTAAGCTGAATAACAAAAAATCTCCTGGCTCGGACCTAATAACTGCAACAATTTTGAAAGAATTACCTAAAAAAGGTATAGTAATGCTAACCTATATTTTCAATGCTATCTTCAGATTAAACTATTGACCTAAATCACTTAAAGCAACTGAAATTATTTTATTCCCGAAGCCGGGTAAAGACCCTAGCGACGTCTCCTCTTATAGACCAATAAGCCTACTACCTGTCATTTCTAAAGTACTAGAGAGACTTCTGCTCCAAAGAATTACGCCTTATCTAAATTTTATCCCGAATCATCAATTTGGCTTCCGGCGTTAGCACTCTACGATTCAACAATGTTATAGAGTCGTTAGTACAATAAATGAATCACTGGAAGACAAAAAATATTGTTCGGCAGTTTTCCTGGACGTAAAATAAGCCTTCGATAAAGTATGGCACGATGGACTACTCTATGAAATAAAGTATCTCCTTCCTAGCTTCTACCTCCTTCTCACCTCATATTTGCAAGATCGTGTTTTTAAAACAAGAGTGGAAGGCGAATTATCAAATACCCACCCAATAAGAGCCGGAGTACCACGGGGTAGTGTGCTGGATCCGATCCTGTATTTAATTTACACCTTTGACCTGCCAACAACATCCAATATTACACTAGGAACGTTTGCTGATGACACTACGGTTTTGGCAAGTCACAAGGACTCCACCATTGCATCACATCTCCTACAAAACTATCTAGAAATATTCAAAGAACGGACCTCAAAATGAAAGATTAAGATCAATGAGACTAAATCCAACCATATTACTTTTACTCTCAGGAAGGGTCAATGCCCCCCATCTTTCTTAACAAGATACAAATCCCGGAATCAACAACGGTTCGGTACTTGGGTCTACATCTTGACAGCAAGCTATCTTGGAGGAACCACATAATTAAAAAAAGGAAACAGCTCGAGCAAAAATTTAAAAATATGTACTGGCTACTTAGTAAAAAGTCAAAAATGTCATTAGAGAACAAAGTTCTAATTTACAAAATTATGTTAGTTGCAATATGGACTTACGGACTTGAGCTATGGGGTAGTGCTAGCAAATCTAGCATCGCAATCATACAAAGAGCGCAATTAAAAATGCTCCGTGCAATTGCTAATGCCCACTGGTATGTCTGCAATTAAATAATTCACAATGATCTTGGCATCCCATTTGTCACCGACACTATTCAGGGAAAAAGTGGAAGACATCTCGCCAGATTGGATGATGTAAACCCACTTCTTCAACTACTTCTCAAGGAACGAGGAAACAGAAGACTGAAGAGAAAATGGCCCATTGATCTCGGATGAGGCTTAGGAGGACTTTTCATTGGGGAA